GCAAAGAAGTCATTCAGAACCTCAGCCTTCTCCAAATCCCGTGTAGCCACTTCTCCTGAGAGCTTCCTGAGGGAGCCTACATTCTCCCTAGTCTGTTTTTTATTTGCTATGTACCTGTAGAATCCCTTCCTGTTATCTTTAATACCTCTAGCTAGGTTTAATTCTAACTGAGCCTTAGCTTTCCTAACTTGGTCCCTAGCTTCCCGGACAACATCCCTGTACTCTTCCCATGCCACCTGTCGTTGCTTCCACTTATTATAAGCCTCTTTTTTCATTTGAATTTTCCTCAGGAGCTCCTCATCCATCCAAGGAGGTCTCCTGGCCCTCCTGCTGCACTTCCTTCTGGTTGGGATGCAACACTCCTGAGCTTGCAGCAGGTGATCCTTGAATATCAACCAACAGCCTTGGGCCCCTCTGCCCTCTAGGGCTGTATCCCATGGAACTTTCCGAAGCAGGTTCCTGAAGAAGCCAAAGTCTGCTCTTTTGAAGTCCATGGCAGTGAGCTTGCTGCATGCTCTTCTCACTGTCCCGAGGATCTCAAATTCGAGCATCTCGTGATCACTGCATCCAAGGCTGCCCTGGAACGTCACATTTCCAACGAGCCCTTCCCCGTTGGTGAGCACGATGTCAAGCATGGCACCTCTCCTTGTCGGCTCCTCTATTACTTGCAGAAGGAAGTTGTCTTCTACACAATTGAGGAACTTCCTGGATTGCTTGTGCCGGGCTGTACCGTCCTTCCAATAACATGTTTTGATGACAAAGTTATAGATCTCAGCCACCCCTAATCTCTCTATCTGTCATGCAGATATCAATCATAATCAGCTTCTTAATTTTGAATGTTGTTTGATAAAAGAATGAAGAGAGAGACATCAGCTGTCTGAAGTGTCAGAAATTGCGTCTGAAAGACAGGGGAATATGATCAAACTGATGAGTGCAGTCCTAAGAACACACCAACCAAGGAGACCTTTCCTTGAATAGGATGCAGGTGGAAACAGCTAAAAATGTGACTACCAGGCTTACAGCTCCTGTAGTCTATATCTACACAGCACAGTGTTGAAAGTTCACCCTCAAGAAATAAGATCCTTTACTTGCCAAAACTTCTTTGATTTCCTCATATCCCATCTGTTCTTTTGCTTCTGGTTGAGCAACAGCTCAGTCTATGAGTAGTTATCTACCCCAGGGGCCCATCAATTATTTCTTCAGCCTATTAAAATGAGGGCAGTTGCAAAGAACAGACACTTCCGATATATTTATATCTGCCTTACACTGGCCTTGAATAAATGCTTAGTATTTAGTCAAGTCTATATTTTAAAATAATACTTTTCAAGATATTCATAGTTGAAATTTCTGCCCTGGAATAATCTTCTGTCCTTTCATGGTGCAATAGACATTATGTGCACAATATTTTTTGACCAGGCAGTGTATAGATACACAGCATCCTGAAATCTGCAGAAGCATCCTGTATTAATGTATCCTGTTTCAGAGAGAAATATCTATTACCATTGGCCGAGGGAAGGATAAAATGTAGAAAGAAGCCTTTCCATATAGGAAGCCAGGCTTAAGCTAAAAGTTTTGTAAATGAAAATGAGGTTTGTTAGCATGGCTTTGCATACCTCCACAGTCTGCTGACAGTACACCCTTTGTTATAAAATCTGACAATATTATTGAAAAGATTCTGAAGTTCTATTAGAAAGCAAATTCAAAAAGAAGAAAAGGAGAGGGCAGGAATGGTACTTTATGGCTGTCAGTTTACTAAAACTACTGAAAAAAATCTACCTCCTCCCACAACTCCCTTCAAGGTTCCCCATGTTGCAGAGTCAAAGTGTATAACCCATTTATTCTCCCTAGAACTCCAGAGTCCTGTTCTTGCACATGCAGGCAAATACACACACCCCCCTACTGCCCCCAGTATAAACATCGGTACTGCTTGGCTGTTCAATGTCCTTTAATCAAAATATTATTTGACAGTACCAGATAACTTTAAAAGGTTGACTATTTTCTCAGGTAATTAAGCATTTAGCGTTATATTACAGAATACCGTTTTCTGACAGTAAACATTCACAAATATACACAGGGATGTTTGGAATAGAAGTTTTCAAATTGGAGTTCTAAATGCCTGCATACAAACACAAAAATCCACAGAGTGAAGTGTAAACAATTAACATGGTTACTGTTTATACACAAACCAGCTCACTACATACTGCAGTATGCAAGTTGCTTTTATCTGGCCACAGAATTTCTGTGCACTTGAGGCACACCTCTGTGTCAGCCAAGTTGGACTGTGGCAACAAGTCTCCACTGATATGGACCATGTCTTCATATTTCTTACATATCTCTTTCTTAGTAAAGATCTGGGAAGTGAAAAAAAAAAAAAAAAAAGGCTTTTCAGTATTTTTCATGCTCAAATTTTTATCTGTCTTCATCCCACTTCAGTGTTCAGAGGGATGATGTAGGTATCACATTGCTCGCAGGATCAGGGCTTTAATCATTCATACAGCATGATCCATGCAGGGCTCAAAAGGCAACAGCTTGAATCTGTTTTCGTCACAACTCGCTTTATGTAGGCCTTTGTTTCAGTGCTGGCAGCCTGTGTTTTTATGACGTTTCTTTCTCAATGAGTAAGCTTCAGCAAGAAAATGCTAAATAATGTCAGGCTGGTTTATAGACTCTTCTATGACACCCTTATTTTTATAAGGCAAGAGGCAGCAGGGTATTGGTCTGTAGCAGTACCAACTTGAGAGCTTAATTCTCAATATTTTCTTCCTAAAGAACTGTAGATTTGTTACACTCAAATAATTTAGTAACAAAACTAAAAGCTGTTAGAAAACCAAGTCAGTTTTCTCCTGTATTATGCAACATTTGAAAAGTGTTTGTATATTACCTTCTGGAAAACAATGGAGTTCTTCAAACTTCTTCTATAACACTATAAAGATCGCTGCTTTAAGGATATGACTGCCAGCTCACAGTGGAATTAATAATATGCATGCAACTAGAAGATGATGCCCATTTAAAAAAGTTTGCAACTGACAAGTTCTGAAATGCTGCCACTCTGATGTTAACTTAATTTCTTCCTTATTTATTCAGACCTTTGCTGAATCACCATCATGAAAATCCATCTGTTAATCCTTAGGCCAAGAGCAAAGACACTCCCTAAATTGGCACTGAAGGGTCACTGCAGAAGAATTCTTTACCTTCCTACAAGCATACCTCAACACTTTTCAAGCCAGCAGGGTACACTCATATATGATTTACCAGCTTATATTTCGCTACCATTCTTATTTTTAAGCCCTACCCCCAGAAAAAGAAAATGAAAGAATTTCAAAGCTTGATTCCAACACAATACTTCAATACCATTTGTTACATCCTCACACTTCCACTGACACTTCCTACATACACATACTACCTCCCATCATGCATATTTAATCTAATATCTTGTTCACATTCATAAAGATCTGCATGTATACTTTCAAGCTTTTAATTTTACCATCAGAAGTAGGCATGGCAAAACAGTTTAATATCACAATAATGTATCAAAAACATTTGCTCTTCTGAAATCAGCTCCTTTAAAATAGAGATACCGTCCAGAAGATGTATGTCAGGCTGTGAAAATTACTTCAAGGCAGGAAGGGCTGCATTAGGACAGTAATGGCACATTAGTGCCTGAAATCATGATTATCATCATCATCTATTACTCATGAAGAAGTTGCTCACAAGAAAAATGTTGAAGAGACATGAAATGAGAACAGAACACTGATGCGTTGAAGACCCTCCAACTGTACAGATGAAAAATTAATCTTCAATTATGGATGCCAGTATAACAGAATGGTTAAATAAGGAGGTTTAAGGCCAAGGTTACATTTTTATGCTATTTATTCTCCTTCATTAATTCTATTTATAGAATCAAAAGCAGATAATCTTGCAAGCTCTGTAACAGCAGTACTTTAACAAGAAAATAACTGAATATTCATAGATTTATTACTGATTTCTGTCTGCTCCCAGAATTCCAGGAGACACTTTTCAGTAAATCTTTTTCGTAATAACATTAAAGTAATACAATAACCCACACAATATGAACAAGTGTAATGGGAAGGCAGTCTCATCCTCCCCAGACCTGAGGCCACAGCACACCCTTCCTATTGACAAGGTTCTGCCTCTGCCTGGTATCTGGAAACAGCTCACTTGCAGTCTGTTTACCCATCGGGTGGAGAAGCCACTGTCACAGAAGGTGACAACTCTATTGCCGAGGTACAAAGGATGAGAAAGAAAGAAAAAGAATAAAAGACCACTGTCTACTGCTGTATTTCCACTGCAGAATTAAGCATGAACAAAGTCAGTGATGCATATGACCTAAATACATATGGGAAATAAGAGAGGACTCTTCCAGGGAACTGTTAACTATCCATGTAAACATCCACAGAATAAATCACAGTGAGCCAGTGCCCAACATAATAAAGCATTCAGGTGGCACAATTCGCATTCAAAGGCGGCAGCTCTGACTTCAGGCTTGGTGGCAAGAAATGTGTCCGCACCCTCCCGTCGCCCATGCAATCGCAGTCCTTATAGCTCCGGGCACAAGAAGCCTGTTTCCCCAGGATAGCCCTCACGCACTCAAGGATTCATCTCCCCTGTTACGATTCCAGGCAGCGAGCAGCCTCGCAAACAGGGAGCCTACAAGTGCTCCCACAGCTACTTTGTTGCCGGGAACGCGGACGGGACGAGGAGGCAGGCAATCCGCCCGCCCTGTGCAAAGGCACAGGAGCTTTGAGCGTCCGCGCTTGCTTCTCTTCCCAAGAGGAACGGCGAGAAGCACGCCCGCTAATGCCGGCGCTGGCCCCGGCTGGGGACCGGGGCCGCCCGAAGCCCCGGGGCAGCCACCGACGCGGGCGCTCCGTCCCGGCCCCGGAGCTCCGCCCGCTGCACCGCGGGAGCCGGGTGGGACGCGGCCGAGGGGAGCGGGCGCCACGGCAGTCTCAGGACTCGCGATCCCCGGAGGCACCTACCGGGAGGACTCCCCGCTGAAGCTGCCGCCGTCCAGCAGCCGCACCTTGCAGAAGAGGATGCCGTTGACGAAGGGCACGGAGGAGAGCTCGTCCAGCTCCAGCTCCACGCGGAACTTGAACTTCTTCTTCTTCATCATGATGAAGGCCATGGGCCGGGGACTGCCCGGGGGCCGCCCCCAGGCCCGCTCGGCGCCGCGCGGCAGCTCCCCTCCGCCCCGCTCCGCTCCCATGCTCGGAGCGAGCGCGGCGGCACGGCGGGGCCGGTCGGGTCCGAGCGGCAGCCGCCTCAGCTCAGCCCCCGCCGCCACGGCGCTCCCGGCAGGCGCTTACATGGCAGCGGGCGTCTCCCTTTCAAACCCGCCCGCCCCCGCTCCGCCCGCCCGCCAGCGGCCGGCAAAGGCTGCCGCCGGGGCGCGGCCGGCAGGAGCCACCCGCGGGCATTGCCGAGCCGCTGCTGCGGAAGGCGTTAAACGGCGGCGCTTCACTTGGCTGAGGGGCGGAGAGGGCCGCTGCCGCGCTCTTCACTAACAGGAGCCTGGCGTGCCGCTGTCCCGCGGAGCGCAGCGCTGCCGCGGGAGGAACGTGGCCGCCGAGCTTGTGCAACCCGGTCCAGCAGCAACCCAGCCGCCTGGGGATCCTGTTAGGGCCGCCCCGCCAGCCGAAACCCACCGTCTGGCTAAAGTTACGTCTGTCTGATGGGTGGTTTTAAAGGACACTAACAAAACTAAACGTCGTTCAGACTTCGACATTTCAACTCTGACACTAGATTCTTTCTGATGTAATTCAAACCTTATCGGGGTCCTTCCCAACAGTTCAGTGTATAGTACAGGCTCCATTTTTGATAAGAGCAACAAACGCTCACAGTCCTGCAGAGAAGGAGGGAGGTACACGTCCGTTTTTACATTTAAGAACAACCCTGTGGCACCCACGATCACAGCAGCACACACGCAACGTTCATCTGCATAACGTGTAGTTCAACACCAGCGTGTGCTCTCCACGGAACAGCTTTGACTCAGAAACTCATTCCAGAAGACTTAACCACAAAGCAGGCTCCTGGCACCCTCCGTCAGCAGAGCAGGCTCCTCTTCTCAGAGTGTTGCGTAAGAAAACCATAACACAGCATGTCTTCCCGCAACGGAGCATTTACTGACACGATCGGAAGAAGAATTTGTAAGATCAGGCATGTAGCATGATGCCGAGCCCCTGGAATCTTGTTGCAAAAATACTGCAGCCCCTCCTTCAGTAGAAACATGGAAAAATAATTTTTGTATGGAACACATACCTGGTGAATACAGACATCAGCTATGGTGTGTGTGGCAAAGTATACCAAACCATCAGCAACTGTGCTGAAGAATAGTGGTAAAGAAGAAGTAAACAGTAAAAAAACCCAACCCAAACCAAAACAAAAACATAAAAATGGAGTACCTGGAGAAGAAATGCTCTTGCCTTTTCTGCCTGACAACATCCAGGACATAACAAGTATTTCTACACAGAATTTTTCTGTAAAAAGAATTACAAGGGTAGTTCTGACTCCGTGATTTTCATGTTCCTAACAAAAACTTTCCTCTGAAACTTCCACGTGTCAGGTAATCACTGGCTTGGAAGGAAGCTGTGTAACTGGAACAGACTTAAGATACCTTTGAGAGGAGGTTCAGGCATTTGGCCTCCTTGACCTAAGAATTTCCCCCTTGAGAATATCTCTCCAGTCTGCTCTAAAATAATTTGGAAAGTCTCCTCTCTTCAATAGACTTCAACAGCCTACAGTGGATTGCACAAGGCAATGCTCTAGGTACTGTATCCATCAGCTCTCAAGGAAAGGAAGGTGAAAGTTTTTCAGCACCTAAAAGGAGTGAATCAGTAGTTACATGGTATCAAGTTATACCAAGGGGCTCCTTTCTCTCAAAGCTAAAGAACCAGTTCCTGAGTTCCGTTAAAAACAGATGTTTATGTTTGATGGAAGAGATTACCACATGTAGCTGGAAGGTCCTGTGTATTAAGATCTAGGAAGAAAAGCAGAGCTGAAGAACCAGAATAAAAAATAGGGTTGCATACCACATGAATTATATGTCAGCAGTCTGACAAATACAGGTGGTCTAGCTATTATATAGCACCTTAAAGAAAACCTGAACTGATTTACACCTTGTCAGAGAAGAGGTAGAAGGGGCAACATTAATAAATGATTAAAGCCTATAGGTTATTACAGGCTCTGTGAGTAGGTCCTCTGTACAACTGAATTTACCAGGAAGCTGTAAGAGTTGACACACTGTATATGCAGACAAGCTGTAGCAGCCCTGTCCAGCCCCACCTGAGCCCTTACCCCGCCCTGCCCGGGGGACCCATTGAAGCCCAGCTCTAAGCCCTCAGCCCTGGTTTGAGCCCTGTTGCAGCTACGTCTGTTGGGGGTTGTGTTGCAGAACTGCCTGCACCTTGGTGTGGACCCTGATGTGCAGGCTGATTTCTAGGTTGATCTCAGACCTGTCTTTTCATTGTAGGTGTGCCTGACTGTGGTTGCTGTTGTGGGACTGGACTCCGAGATGTGTTCCCAGTGAGACCTCAGCCCTGCCTCATGCCTCCTCTCCTGGCCAGGTACTACTTCTGTTCTTGCACTCCCTGCTGTTGGGGCGGGGGAGATGGCCCTTGCTGTGCCATGCCATCCCGAAGTGCTAGCTGCTAAAACAAAGAAAATGCTGGCTGCCCAATGACTTCAGGAGGTTTGCTTCAAATGCTATCCTTTTCTAAAAAAAAATACAACTCTACTCAGGAGCTAAATCTGCATTCAGAAGCTGGTGGCTTGAAAATGTCTTCTATATTGAGAATAACCTTCTTGATGAGAGAGAGTCAAAGTCAAAAGTGTCACAAGTATAGATTTTTAAGTATATTTAGAATCTTTATTTAAATGATTCTCTAAATAGCAGAGGAATTTTGCAAAAAAGGATAAATACTGTGGTTAATGTAACAATCCTATGTTGTCACTGATGTAAAGCTGCTGCAAGTTTAAAGCACTGGAGTTTTATTTTAGGAGAAATTCATAAATCTTTAAAGAAGTTGAATGTTACTCAAGCAGGTGAAAAACCTCAAAGATTCAAGAAAAATCAGTGTTTCTCAAAATAGCAGAGTTACACCAGGAGAAAACAAATTATTAAAAGCTGCTTGCTCTCCCAGAGAATACAAGATTACAGTCACCAAATTGCAGGAGCTAATAGGGAACTTCCTTCAGGGACAGGTAATTCCATGGACAGGTGAAGGCCAGGTCTCTGAGATTTTAAAATCCTCCAGAGCACCAGTGTAAATATTGTTGGAGGTGGTACTAATGTGATCTGTGTTCATCCTCTTGGCCTATTTGTTATCTACAGCACCATTTCCCCACTGGCACTTGTACTTCTGACCTCTAGCTCTTTTTTCCTGAGACTAGTGGCATCAGAAAAATACTGAAACCTTTCCTAGGTTTGGCTTTAGCTGGACATCTGCTCTTGTTGTGACCTAAGAGCTGGGCTACCACTTGTATCCATATCAGTGATTCCAGCAGCTGTCAATTGTAAGCACTCTGTCTTGGTCATGAAAGAGATTAATTTGGGTGTCTGAAACTAAATTAAACCGAAAAGCGATCTCAGTGGGAGCTAAATACAGTGTAGGTAAGTAAACTCTGTAATCATGGCACTTCTCATGCTGTTTTAAGAAATAAATGGTGAAGCCTCAGTCTTCCAAACAGGTTTGCATGCGTTTAGTACAAACCCACACAACAAACTCTCTGATCACCTTCTGAATGATCACTGCCTTTATGTGGTGTGGCTATTTAAAGCTGTGCTGTAAATAAATCTCAGGTAACAGTCCCAGTTCCGTGAGGTGTTCTGTGCCCTCCAAAATGGTGATGTGTTGCAGGGAAAGTCAGAATACAGTATACTCAGCTTGACCTCTACTGGCATTAAATCATGATTTCTTCATTTGTAAACTGTGTTTACCTGTACTATGGCACCAGTCTTTCTGAATGAAGGCAGAAATCCTCTTTTTCATGCTAAACCGGTCCAATGCTGTGTGCTAGAAAGGACAAGTACCAGTAAAGAAGAATGTGAACAATTAACAAAAGAATCTGAATTTATCACAGCTTCTTGTTCTATGATAGTAGGATTCCAAAATGTGTTTATTTTGAAGAATTATTTTATAATGATAGTTTAAAACCAAGCTGATTACATCTGTGTAATGGATGAAGTATTCATTTTGCCCTGAAACAAGAAAAAACACTGCACTTTGTCTATTATTAGTTGCCTTTGTGTTGTTTAACTATGCCCTCCTGTGTGTGTCCTGGAGATTGCTTCTTCAGCTGACACAAAATTTTGGACGTACTTAGCAGACAATTTTTTAGCTGTGTAGCAGGACTGGGCTTGATCTCTTAATTTAAAAATTACTCAACTTGACTGTAGTCCCTGGGCTTAAGCCAGAAATGACTCTTGGCCCACAAAGTAGACTGTTTTTACAATTTGAAGATTATTATGAAGTGTTTCCTTGATCACAGATAAAGAGCTACAGTATCTAGGACAGGCACTGAATTGTGCAATTCAGCTGAGTTATCTTTTAGTCTATTAATAAAATACATCATCTTCCTCTAGCCTCTGAGGTTTTGTGATATTTATAGCATTTCCTCTAAGTGGATAGTATTGATGTAATTTAAACATTTATTGTACATGAATTGATATATATACTAATTAAAAGCTCTGTTTTATTAAGTTAAATGCATATATTTTGTGATGAATTTTTGATGTTCTGATACTAATCAATAATCTCAGAAAGCCTTATAAGAATATAAATCATATAAATATTACTGGATTTTAAAAAATCTTATTTTAGATGCACCTCTTGGGCAAAGACATTTCTTGACTCAGATGTCCTTTGTGGATATGCAGTTCTTTCAAGCAAGGTAAAAACTAGAATGTGAGATGATGGACTATTCAAAACTCCTTTTTAACTAAGAAGGACTCTGTGAACAATACAGCCCCAAAACCATCATATAAATCGTAGAATTACAGAATGGTTAGGGTTGGAAAGGACATTAAGATCATGGAGTTCTAACCCCCCCCTGCCATGGGCAGGGACGCCTCACACCAGACCGTATTGCTCCAGGCTCTGTCCAGCCTGGCCTTGAACACCACCAGGGATGGAGCATTTATAGCTCCTTTGCGCAGCCTGTTCCAGCATCTCACCACCCCCACACTAAAGAACTTCCTCCTTATATCCAATCTAAACTTCCCCTGTTTAAGTTTGAGCTCCTTGTCCTATTGCTACAGCTCCTGATGAGGAGTCCCTCTCAGGCATCCAAGACCATTTGTAGAAGAAATGATAGTTTTGGTAGTGCTAGCTTCAAATAAGAGGAAAGATTAATTGTTTTATTAGAGATATAAATGAGGCATTGCATTGCATTTGTGGTCACTGTCTCAGATGTCACTGCAGTTGATTAATTAGGCTGAACTAGTGCCTGTATCTTTCAACAAGGGCAATAGCTTCCTCAGATGTGTGTCTAATAGTTTATCTAGAAACATATGCAAAATACCTGAGACTCTTAGTTACTACCTGCTTTTCTTATTTGTCTCAGCCAGTCATACTAAAGTCAAAGCATTTAAACCTTCTGCACAGCTCTGATACTCCGTTGTCAGGGAGACCAGTGCAAATCGGGAATCACTCAATGAAAAATAAGTGATTTCCCTGTTGTGTCACATTGTGGATAAACAGTTGGATGAATAAAATACAACCTGTACTTCCAACTTTCTGCCACACACACAAGTCAAAGCAGAATCTATTTGCAAATATGAATTGTCTAACCTTCAAGCTCTATTACCTGCCTGTTTTCTGTGGCCTACTTTTCCTGCACAACTCCTAATGGTATGACACACACCATATAAATCATAAGTATGCAGGATGTGCTTATGAAAGCTAAAGCTGCCAAAACTAGCTTTTATTCCTTCTTGCTTCATAAAGAACAAGTGCATCTCTTCCTCATTTATCTTGAATTTTGGCCTATTGATGTGCTTCACACATTTTAATAACAGCAACTGAGCTTTTAGAGAAAAATATGAGTGTTCCATTAAGGTTCTCTTTTTGTCTTGATCTTTTATTTATGCTACTTCTTACTTTAGTCAATCCCCCAGCAGAAACTATCTTCAACCCATACTGCAAGTATTTTACAGCAGATACTCAATCATCAAAAAAACCCCTGTATATATTGCCACTAAATTAATAGTTGTAGTTAGTTGATAAAAATATTTTTTAAGCATGTGTATATATATTACATACATATTCACTCTGAAGTGGTTACCAAATGTGGTGCCTGTCATGCTGGTCAGAAAAGTATTAACACTCAATGCTTGCAGGTTCCTGTAAGTGCTTGCATAGTGCTTTATTGATCATGTGGAAATGATTAGCTGATGTTGAACATCTAAATGATATTAGCACACAACACAAGGTAGAACTGCCTGAGATCAGTTTAAGTGTATGCTTCAGGTATTCAGTGTTAATTTTTGGTTCTAGTTCCTACATGGTGTTAGTACAGTATTTAGTATCATCATACAAGAAAATAACTGTACTTCCTCAAGTCCTCAGACAATGACAATTCCAGATATTAGAAAGATAGTGATAAGCAACAGGAGCTTAAGGTAGCACTGTTTTATTCCCACTTGTATCATATTTCTGTGTATTGTATTCAATAACTAGTACAGATAGTTATTACTTGAATGTTATTAGAGATGGAATGTTGCTGTCACTGTTACTTTGTTAGATAAAGACATAAGGATGATTGTATGAGTAGAAAACCAGAATCAAATACTGCTTAGCAGTATTATATCGCTGCAATGCAGCGACCTCTGCAACATTCCCTTTCTTTATTCCAGAGAGGGGTAAAGTATATTCAGACTCTGCCTATTCCAATACACAACCTTAGCTGTACTAACAAAGTAACATGCTTCTATTTGGACAGTTCTTGTTTAATGTATTTATCAGTTAGGTGGAGGCAGCAGAGTACACTCTCGTCAAATTTCCAGATAACCTCAAACTGTTGGGAACCAGCTGGTGTGCTTGAGTGCAGGGCTGCCATTCAGAGAGGCTGGAGGAATGGAGTCACATGTTGAATGAAATTCAACAAGGACAAATGTGAAGTACTGCTTGTAGGAAGGAATAGCCCCTTGCAACAGTCCAGGCCAGGGAGGGCCTGCTGAGAAGGATGTGGGGGTCTTGGTAGAGAGCAAGCTAAGCATGGGCCAACACTATCTCCTGGTAGCAAACGAGGCCAGCACCATCCTGGGCTGTATTAACATAAGCATGGCCAGCAGATGGAGAGAAGTTATTATCTCCTTCTGTGCACAAGCTAGACTGTATTTAGAAACTCTAGTCCAGTTCTGGGCTACCCAAAATCTGAAAGACATGGGTAAACAGGAGAATGAGCCAACAATATGTCTGGGGCTGGAGCACTTGCTCCATGAGGAGAGGCTGAGGAAATCAGTTTCCTGATTTCCTTTCCTGATTCCTTTTCTCCAACTGGGAGAAAAGAAGGCTTTGTGGGGACCTGAAAGGTGGCCTCCACTTTCTATGTACCTACAGAGAGTTTATAGGGAAAATAGGATCAGGCTTCTTGTAGTGGGACATGGTGGGATGCTAAGAAACACCAGGCACAAATTGAAATTAGAACAGCTCAGAGTGGATTAAAAAGGAAAAACTTCTCTGTAAGGAGATTCAGGCAGTCCAAGTCTCCATCCTTGGATATCTTCAAGACTGAATGAAGACCAAGTAACCTGGTTTGAGTTCATGGCTAAGCTTGCTTTGAGCAGGAGGTTGGACTACAGGGTCTTTGAGGTCCATTCCCAGTGCACTTTGTGATTCAAAGAACTACTGTCTTTACGTATGCAAGTCATAGTAGTGTCTAGTCATTTTCAAGCACCAATTAGTCTGTGGTCAGACAATATATCACATTAACTTTATTAATCACTCGTTGAGCAAGGGTACTAAGTTCCTGCTATAAGGCTGAAGAGCACTTTCTGTGGTTGTGTACTGACTGAATGTGCACTAGGAAAGCAAGACTCAGCAGCTCGTTTTCACTGCATCTTTCCCATGGAGAGCCTGCTTGCTGACATTTTCTGTCCATTTGTTCTTGTACCAGCTGTGTCCATTCACATTCACTCTACTGATTTATGAAGCAATTATGAAGAGAAAACAAGCACTACAAGTTTCCTCTTCTGGTCTTTGTTAAGTCAAGCAAGCCAAGCTCTTTCAGACTGCTCCTAGACTCGGTAGTCTTCATAGAGCTTCAACCCAGACCTCAACCATTGTCACTAGAATGAAACAGAGTACCCAAATTAGGTATTTTGCAGCTTGTTGGTATTTCCCTACTTGTATGGGAAACATTTGCTGGATACGACCGTGTCGGTGCGGGAGGGAAAGCCGAGGAGAACCTGAGCAGCTGCGGCCCGCCGTCTTCCCTTAGCGGCTCGGTGCTTGTTGCTTGTTGCTTGTTGCTTGTTGCTTGTTGCTTGTTGCTTGTTTCCCGTTTCCCGTTTCCCGTTTCCCGCTTCCCGCTCAGCGGCGCGGGGAGGAGGGAGAGCGGGCAGTACCGTAGATTGCTCCTCCCCGCGCCGCCGAGGCGGGGCTGGGACGGTTCCTTCTCCGCCAGCTGCGGGCGGTGGTGGCAGTGGTAGCACAGGCGGTGCTTCCCGCCGCGCCCAGCCCTCGGGGAGTAAGGGGCGAGCGTCCCGCTGCCTGACCGCACTGCCTTGCCATGTTCCAGCTCATACGAGGTTTCGTCTTGCCGGCTGCCGCCTGCGACGGGAACAGGGATGGGGACTCCCGGTACGCCAACCTCTTCAGGAAGCTAGACCTCAACGAAGATGGGAGGGTGGATATCGCCGAGCTGCAGACGGGCCTCCGGGCCATGGGCATCCCCTTGGGAAAAGAGGCGGAGGAGGTAAGAGCGGGCCGGGGGCGCGGCGGTGGCACTTCCCCGCCATTCACCCACTTCCCCCCCCGGTGCTGCTTCCCAGAGCAGCAGCCCCTGGCGAGAGGTTTCCCCCCGGCACCCTGCAACCATGGGGAGGGTAAGGCGCGGCCTGGCCACCCACCCGCCGCCCAACCCCTGAGGGATGGGGCGCTGCCCTGCCGGGACTCGCCGTGATGGTCCCGAAGCCGAGGCGGCGCGTCGGGGGCTGCTCCAGATCGCGAGCCGCGTCCGGAGGCTTTGGGCTGCTCCTGAGTGAAGTCGGCCTCGGGCCTGCTTTTCCCTTCGCGGGGACGCCGTGCCTGCTGCAAGGATGCGTTGTGCAGGCACGCCTCGGGGCTGAAGTGAAGGATCCCGAGTGCGAAGGCTGTTAACAGTGCGGCTCTCGGCGGTTCCGTTGCCAGCTTTATTGATCGTGTGTTGACTTCTGACTTCCTTTGATTCTTTGTAGCTCGATGTTTGATAGAATATTCCTCCTCTAGCATGATAAAGGATTGTAGTTTACATCTTTTGTCTGACATTCCACCTTTGCATAATCTAGGTCAGAATAAATTAAGACTTGCTTTGTGCAGCAGGTAAGTAAATCTGTATAACAGTAGGCTGCAATATTAGAACTAGTTATTGACGGTAGGTCTCCATCAGCACTCGGACATGGAAATGATTCTACTTGGCAAGGGCTGTGTTGGGTAATTTCTGTTTAATAATGTAGACTTGTAGCAGTGGTTGTCAAACCACGAAACAGCACACGCTCTGTGCTGTGGATTCTCCTGTGACTGGGTTGGACTATTACATTCCTTTGTTCCCTGTATCAATGTTGTGACCTCAAAAGTCAGTAAAATTGAGTCATCAAGCATTCCAGTGCAGTGCCAAGTTATACTAGCAAATCTGACCTGTTGTTTTGAGTAATCCCCATATAAAATCAGTAAATGCATAACTCTGTAGGCATAAGTATTTGAGTGGTAAGGCATGTCTGCTCCAACAAGGCGCACATAGGTTCACCTAGGCTGTACAGGTACAGCTGAGACCTCTGCTACAGCTATTACCGTAACAATGCTGGACTTTGTTTTAGTGTAAAGAATAGTTAGGTGGCATTCCAGTGCTGTCCCTGTACTGCCTGTTGCATATTTTCTGAAAGAGGTTCAGGAAAGTGAACTTAAATTTTGATAGCAGTGTTATGTCAATAATTCAGTTTCAGTGACCTTATACTAACTGTGGGACACGCTGCCAATTTTTCCCCATGGTCTTGTTATTTGATGTCTATTTTACTTTTACTTGGTATTTAATTCTCTGTCTCATATAACTAACGGAAAAGTATGCAGCAGGCCTCTTTAGTTGGATGATGCCGAGTATAGATGAAAGCATACTTTCATTTCAATACTGCTTCTGGTCAAAATCATCTTCACAAGAATTATATTTTGTGTTCTCAGTTTTTGGTATAAAGGAGGGACAGTTTGTTCTGTTTGCTTATCTGTGGAAGTTGTGATATGAAGTGCATGCTAGTTATGAACTTCAGTTGCACATTGTATACACATTGTTGAAAAACTGTTGTACCAGTTTGACAGTAAGGATTTTGGGTTTTACTTAAATTGAACAACAGGGGACCTGGTGATCAGTTGATCAGTTAATTTTCTGGCATTTAACAAGGGTGATCTTCCCACATAATTCAGAGAGCCCTGGGATACAAGTAGTGTGCTGCTTAGTTTTGAGCAGCTTAGAACTGAATTAAGTTTTGCGCAACTTAGAATTGAATTGCCAAGTTCTTTCTCAAGATCAGTGTGATGCTTCATTAATAGTGCACATCTGAATATCTGTCAAATTCTTAGTTGCCGCTGGATAAACTGGAAGCGAAATGCATGAAATTAACAAAGATAAGCTAGACTTACTTGGATGTAATGGACAGCCGGAACTGTCTGCCTTAGTTGCTTTAGAAACACAGAGTAAACAAAATAAGCCGTGAGTCATGTTGCATGTTTGAGGGGGTGGAAGAATTGTTGGAGTACACTGAAACTTCTATATGCTCACTATTTTAAAGTTAATGGCGCACACAGTTCGAACTAGAAACTGGGCTGCTAATAACTAGACTTGTTATAAGAGAGTCTCAGTAAGACTTGACTCCAGCTTCTTTCCTGTCTTTATGTAGCTAATCTGCTACCTGTACTTTCTTGCAGCTGGAACTTGTCTTCTCCCTGTTACTTTGCTTCAAGCTCTGAAGTGATGATAAGTTCAGTAAAATGCCTTTTCACTACTTGGTGAACAGGTATTTTATTAATGAAGTCAGATACTGCATCATCATATTTGTGTTTGGAGAGGCAGAAGTAGTTTTATTATTACTAACAACAAATGAGTAAGTAAATGAGATGAGGGAATATTGAACAACATGGCAAAGCATTAGCCAGTGAGCTGCTCAGTCCTGCCAACATAGTGGCAGTATGGGATGGGCAGGCCTTGGGGTATCCTGAAGCTGAGTAGGCTTCAGTGCCTCATAGTTGGGTTGGGGTCTCAGGCTTTGTGCTATTATTCTGTTCTAAATGCAGGTCTGGATTACATTTACAAAAGTACTCTTGCAGGGCTGGATTCATTTGCATGGGATGTTGGTCACTGTACTTCTAGGAGCACAGCTGCTTCCTGATTATAACCCTGGGTAAGGGACAATGTGAGCGTTACTGTGTTTCACTGCTAAGTCAGTTGGCTCATCCTGAGTCCTCTTTTTCATGGTGTAAGTCAGTGCTTGTGCTACAAGTATTACTTTCTTATTCTCTTGAAATAAGTTCTCTGGAATGCATGTCTTTAAAAGATGCAAAGCTGCTATCCATTTGAGTAATAGACTACTGTTATGCTCTTTTTTTACCTTTCATAGTTGTCTTGGCAGTTTTATTAATGTTTAATGTATGATAAAACCCTCTTAAGTGAAGAAACATTGTAGATACGGGAACTGATGCAAAACCATGTGGTAAGCTTTGGAGGTAGGTTGCATGTCCCTCTAAGGAAGAATAATTTTTCCCCATAGCAAGACATTGTAGCACAACATGACATGAACCCTTGAATTTGTGTTCTACTTGACCTGCCTTCCGTCAGTATCTGACAGACAAAAGTAAACCACTGGAAAGTCTGAAATATATGCTGCTTAGAGGCTGCCAGATAACTCCTGTTTTATAAAGTAGTGTATTACCCGCCAGGAATGGGGAACTTTGCAAAGCTTCACAAAAGATTCCTGACATAGTACGTCAAGACCGATACAGAAGGAATTCAGTATTGTGACAGTATCAAATGGTGCTCTACAAGCAGTATTAAAAGCTATTGTACAGTCAGTTTGATTAGTGGAGTTGTCCAGTAGAGACACAAAATAGATGCTGGATCAGATCTCAAATGATCTCATCCTCTGTCTACAGAATGCTGTGAGCCTCTTAGGCAGGAGTGCCGTACATGGTGTGAATGGTTATATGAAGTACTATTTTTGTTCACCCTTTCCTTCTGTTGCAATCAATCCTTACAGTAAAACTGTAGGAGGCGAACCCCTTGTTTCAATCTTCAGTGTAGGGTAGGAACAGCCAAGCTTTCAAATTGTGGTGCTATTTATACATTGAGTCCTGGAGCTAGGAGTAGAAAGGTGTTACTGAAATGAATAGCTACATTCTGGAAACAGTGTAATGATCTTATTTGGACTGACTGTCAGGTTTTGACATAAATCTTTGGCTACATTAAGGCTTCTTTAGATAAAGAAAGAGTGTGATGAGACACTTCTGTGTAGCAGAAACAAGAAGACTAAATTCCCAGCAATCAGAATATGGTATGTTTAGAGTAATTGACTGTGTTTATGAAGATTTAATTTCAACAAAGTATAAAAATACTCAGAACACTTGAAGTGTGTTGCTGAAAATTCAGAATTCCATCAGTGAGGCAGGCCATAGCGCTGCATTGCAGTGCTGTGTCTCTCTGTGAGAGGATGGGTGAGGATAGGCCTATGTGAGCATTGTTTCCTTTAGTGCTATTTTATGGCCTCTAAAAACTACAGCTAGGTTGTGCTTGAGAGCTTGAACTTGTCATAGCTGTTCTTAGCCCAGAAAGCACATACTTGTTTAGTGACTGAGCTAAATGTGTCATTGAGTGTTTCTCCAGCATTAAGACTTCCAGGCTTTTCATACTTTTGGGAACTTCCTCTATATGGCAAGATTAGAAGGCTAGTAGACCAAGTTAACTGAAGCCTTTTCATTATGCTGCAGCTCTAAAAACACTAGTTAACTTGACAGATTCTTAGAAGAAACATTGGCATTTCGAATTACATGATACCTACTTTTAGAAATTATTATCATACATGATATGCAGTTTCACAGTCCTACAAGCTTCAGCACTTTCATGTCTATATGTAATTCTTAATGTGAAATGAAGCTTTCTCTCACCCTAATAGTATGCCAAAAACTGGTACTACAGATTTAGATAGATGGTCATTTTTCAACTTTTTGCCATAGCAGACGTCACCTGATGTGAACCACTTAGTTCCTTTAAACTTTGTTTTTCAGGTCATAATAGGGCTTATGATTATGTCTGATTATAGAGACTTAGTTGTGAAATACCACAAAAATTTTTAGTAGTGTATCTTGACTAAAGTTGTAAGCAAACATGTAAGTTGTCATTTCATTTTAATGTGTACAACTTCAGAAGCTTTTAACTGATCTGTGCTGTAGTCTCCAAGTCTCCATATGAAAGAGCAAGGTGAATGAGTTTGTTTTCATAACACTTTAAGCATCCAAGGAGATAAAATAAATTTTTATAATGCTAAGTTGATAGTTTTTTTTCCTGAACAGTGACAGGGTACAGTGAATGATTAATTGTTCCTCTTGTTGCTGCGAAGTGCAAGAATTCCAGGCACCAAATATGGGAACCCCCACCTCTGGAAGATCTCTTAAGTGCATGTTGAAATGCTTTGCTAAATCCTTGTCCCGAGGCAACAGTGTGTTCCAAGTAAATAAACA